ATAATTAACAATTATTCCACGAGCGCGCGTTGGATATGAGATGATAGATAGCCAACGAGGCGCGTAGCGCCGAGTTGGCTATAATCATCTCATATCCAACAAGCGCGAGTGGAATAATTGTTTTATTAAAAACGTTAAATTAAATTATTAAATTTTATTAAATTTTTAGCTCCCTTTTAATTTTAAGCTGACACGTACGCTTACCATATTTGTAGATTATGGTATATTGGCTGATATACCATAATGGCTAAGCCAATAAAAAGTCTTGAATTGCATTATCCAATGATCTAGTTTTTAATAATTAACAATTATTCCACAAGCGCGCGTTGGATATGAGATGATAGATAGTCAACGAGGCGCGTAGCGCCGAGTTGGCTATAATCACCTCCTTTCCTACAAGCGCGAGTGGAATAAATGTTTTATTAAAATTGTGAAATTAAATCATTAAAATGTTAGCTCCCTTTAATTTTAAACTGACGCCTAGGCTTACCACATTCGTAGACTATGGTATATTGGCTCCTGCACCATAATGGCTAAGCCAATAAGAAGTCTTGAATTGCATTATCCAATGATCCAGTTTTAAAAATTTGTGTTAGTCGCAAACGTGTTTGTTTGTCTTGATAATTTGCCAGCGATGTATTAAATGTCATGCAGTTTTTTTCTCCGCAGGTAAAGAAAATTTAGTCGATGGACTCATAACAGACTTAGGAAAGAAGAGGCTTACACCTTTTCCTTTTGAATTTTAGTATGTATTTTGACATTCAACAACTGGACAGTTCACCTCATTTCAACTATTGGGAGTATTAGAAATTGTTTTCACAAAAGGTCAAACTAGTCAACAAGAACAAAGTGCCGAACCAGGGGCGGATCAAGGAAGTTTTGATTGGGGGGGTCCAAACATTGGTTCAGAAAGGACTGTTAGACTCTTTTGAGGCAAATTACTTCTTCCACACACACCCCCTCCCACCAGTCGCGGTTGCACGTTATAATTCCTTGGCCGCTGACCGTTTGCTTGGATTCATTAATTAAAAAATTCAGCCAGTTAAAGTCATATACGATCCTGTCGATGTAAGAATTTCAGTCTCAAAGTTGTAAGCGTCAGGCCTGACAGGGGGGATTCCGGACCCCCCCTGGATTTGCCACTGCGAACTAAGTTTGACTATTGCTACGTCACATTGACATATATCCAAGATGGCGTTTTCCTAACCACGAAAGTTGTAAAAATGGGCAACTTCGAAGCGCTCTTGTCGCTAATACAAAGCAAACTAGACAAAATGGCAGTTATTTTCGAACTCCTGAGGAAAGTCTTCTAATTGAGATAAACTTTTTCTAGACCGTACTTTCCCTTTAAATAACTTTAAGATGTTACAAAATATTTTAACCTTAACTTCATCTTGTTTACTTATTCCCATTTTTTTAACTGCCCAACCACAGCCCTGCTAGCCATAACGGCTACATAACTTAGTTTTTAATCCATATCAACATAAAACAACCATAATAACACTTTAAATTAAGGCTTCCTGATCAACCCCCCCCCCCTCACGTGAGAGGTGCTGCATGTCAAGATCGAGCAATAACTGCAATCGAGACTTCCCTTGTTTCTTCAGTAACTCAATTTCTGAATCCTACCAAAATGTGATGCAACTTGTTAGTCAAATTCAGTGTACTGCCTTATTCAGACAACCTGGTGCAAGTTGCCAAAGCATTTTTTGAATCCTGGTTCCTATAGGTTGCTTCAAATACCCCCGAAAAACTCTCCTCTGGGGTCCACAGTCTACCCTTCCTCTCACTCTAGAGAGGATGGGGAAAGGAAGGCGGAGACCATTAAATAACTATTGATACCCAAGCCTACCAAGGTGCCTGCACTGCAGGCTGAAATAAATCTATCAATTGCATTTTATGGCTTATATCAGAGTATCTACCAACAAGGAACCTTGGGCATACAATTATGATCAAATTGCACATACAAACAAGTTTAACAGGGTTGTTTAAATAAGCTAGCAGCCAGTGTATTTCACCTTCTACTCTGAAGAACATGTCTGCTTTGTCAGGGTGGGTCAATTTCAGTACCAAAGCATGATATTGACCGAAATAAAACTGTTAAGTGCCCCCTATTTTGTATCATGGTCTAGTAACTCAAAATCTCTTTGACAACCCTGTGATAATTAAACATAATTAACTTCAAGTTTCAAACCAGGTTTTTAGCAAACTCTTACAAATATGAAGTGTTTTTCTTTTGCTGTTTTAACAAATCTTATGTACTTGCTCTTTAATCAAGTACACTTCTCACCTTGACAACGTGGTTGTCAACCTGAAACATTCTTTCATCAAAACTAGGATCCTTAATTTTTTTTTTTTTTTTTTTTATGCCAGGCTAGAAAAATAGCCTCCCTCATCTCCCCAACTTCTAGTGAGTCCTATCTCTCTGATCCTAAAATAACAACAACCTGTCCTGAAAGCATCTTAGCAGTCTTACTCTTTTGCAGTTACAAAGAATGCTGTACAACTTGCACATACTCCTAGACAACATATACAGAAACAAATAGAGCCCATGAGAATGTAACTTGCAGTGATCACCCAAAATGCAAACAAATAAAGTGTTGGATTGCAATAGTTTAGCGGATCGCCTGGCGGCGGAGTTGGATTTGGTCGGTACTTGCTGTACACCCAGATGTTTCCAGCAATAAACCATGTAAACAAGAATAAATTTAAAACACCGTCAATAAATTTTGTGGACATGGATTGATCTTCATCCATGTCTAGATCATCTTCATGGGTCCTGGCTCGTTGACAAAGGACTATAATGGTTTTCAACATTCCAAATGATCCTCCGACAATGAGGTAAATGGGAATGAAGGGTTCAACAGGACAATCATCCTTATATTTGGCACCTGTCAGAACCAAAAAAAAAAAATCTTGTAGCCTTTTCTCATATTACTGTAGTTTTTTTTTAATAAGGCGCACTGTTTTTTCCGAGATTGCAGTGGTTATTCTATTTTAAACCTGTATGAAGGGACAAGCAAAGTTAATAACTGACTTTTAGATGTGGTGATTCTCAAAAGAACCCTTGGAATTTTAATGACTGCTGCCTTCTTGTCTTCACTTTTCCTGTCGATAAGTACTGTTTATGTTAACTTTGGGGTTTTTGGAAAGCTCAATTACTCGAGTTCAAATCTTGTCAACCCCGCCTTTTTTCTGCCTCTTTCTATATGCAATTTTTTTTCACATTCAGTACTAACCCTTGGGGATGATTTCATTGTTTGTATATCATCCATTCAAAACAAGATAAATTCTTTTTCATTTAATTTAGTACCCAGTTTTTATTTCAGGTGTGAAGAGGCTCTGTGATATTGAAGGGAAGATACTGAACCTCCCAAGGAATACCATAACACTTAACCCTTTAACTTCCACAAGTGACAAAGACAGAATATCTCCTAACAATAACAATACAATGTCAAGCAGACATATGATGAGAATAAACAAAATTAGTATAGACTAAAACAGTGGATAGCACTGAAGGCGTGCTCTGATTGGCTAGTTTAACTCCAAATATCCTTTGCTATTTACCTCCGAGCAATTCGGGAAAAAATGGCGTCCTGGTTTGCATTCCTATCAAGCGAAGAAATCACTCAAATCAAATTTTGGTGGTGTATATTATCTCACTGTTTTAGAATATATACTAAAGCAACTATTCACCTCAGGGTTGGTGGTTAGCAGTGGATATTTACCTTGCCGCTTTGCAGCTCGGTAAATATCCACCACTAACCACCTCCACTTCGGTGAATAGTTGTTAAAAATCAATTAGGTGACATTAGTTGATCCAATACCAAACTCTCCAAACTAATATCAAAAGAATTGTATAGCAGACAGTAAGCAGAATCACTATAACTTAGATCTTGGGAGTGAAAGAGTTAAGCTTTGCACAACTCACCCACCCTGCCACACACATACTCTGATTCTGTTTGAGCCCTCACTTACCCATAATAATCATTGCAATTGGAAGTGCCATCAGTAAACTCAGGGCAATCGTACAGCCAACTGTAAATTATGAACAATGTACAACACAGTCAGGTTACCACAATATGAACCTTGACAAAAGGTATTTTACAAACATTTTGAAATCTTCCAGGCTTTTCTATATCTTCAAAAGTGCTTAGGATTATTTCCCAAGAATGTTTAAGAAGACAGATGATTAGTCTTTGTTTAACAGAGTAAATTTTGAAGGACTAATGGAAAAAAAATCTCCTAGAACATTTCTCGATCAAAACTTGCAACTAGGCATCTCCACTGGTAGTTCTTAACAGATTTCCACTTTTACAAACATATTTATCAACTTTGAGTAACTGCACAATAAATCAATGCAGTTCCCTTTAAAGGAATCCCTACATGCAGGTGCCAGAGGGTTCTTGTCTCAGAAATTTAACAAACCAGCTCCAGAAATTTTTTCATAGATTGATATATGCCATGATAACCTGTAACTCCCAGATGTGATTAACATGTAGCTTCTCCCTACAATATCCGTACACTATCCAGCAAACAGGTAATGAGAATACTCAGACTTATCAGGTAGAAGTTGTTGCCTGGACCTAACACCAAATTCTTGTAACAAATTTCAGTAAAATTGAACAACAGCTCCCCAAAATATCTGTCGGCTGACTGTTGGTGAACGAAACACAGAAAACACAATGAAAACAAATTCAGACAGGAGTAAATAGACAGTCATCTCGGTAAGTTTGAACTTTCACAATTACCTCAAAATGAATTTTGACGAACACCACGCGATAGAGGTAAATTTCTAGTGCGAGGCATTATTGGCCATATCGATTGTCATTTACGCGAACTTGATGTGTAGCATCTGACCGACACATTTCATTCCACTGAAATTGGAAGAGTTTTAATTAGTTACTTAGATTTAGCAATACGAGTAAATTTTTTTGAAAGACTCAAAAAATTGCACGAGCCTGTGTTTTTGTTGTGTTTCTGTTGTGTTTTCATTGTGTTTTCTGTGTTCATTGTTCATTCATTGTTCATTTATTTATTTGTTTTAGCAGGTTGATTAATTTGGCAGCTGTAATTGCTGATGTGGACCTGCTGTCCTAACCCACCCATCCCACCCCAGGGGAGGACATCCATCACACAGTAATCTCGTGTGTGGGAAATTAACGTCTCCTGCCCCAACCCTGCAGGGGGACGGGACCTCCATTTGTTCGTCCCTATCCGAGAAGACTAGAATATCTAACCATTTCTTGATGTTATAGAAAGGTAGCAAATTCTTCTCAATTATTTTAAGACCTTGAGTGTTGGTCCGGCCGGGGCTTGAACCCTCGACCTCCCGCACCACAGTCCAGCGCTCTATCCATTGAGTGTTTTGTTCGCCAACAGTCGGCCGACATATATTTTGGGAAGCTGTTCTTCAATTTTACCCAAATTTCAAGGAAATGTGTAGCGGCTTAAGAGGGGAGAATTCACAATCATATCTTGGGAGTGAAAAGAAGAAAGTTAGTTTCCTGTGGTGAACATGCAGTGCTGGAGCTCAGCCTGTCATTATAAGTGTCTCGTCATCTTACTTGTTCCAGCAAACAGCTGTACAACTCGTTTGCAGAAATCAAAGGAACCATCGGAAGTCTCCTTAGCTTCTTTGATTTGTCCAAACAGGGAGTCATAGCTAGGTGGTGCTGCATCTTCAGGCCAAATCTTGTCTTCTTCTTCTGCATGGTTTTGACTACTCTTTTCAGACTAAAATGAACAAAATGAACAAGGCATGGTGTCATCTTGTGAAAAAATGCTCTCACTAGTCCGGTGCTGATGATGCACTTACTTGGTCCAACAGGGTTGAAGCTTAATGAGGTCCTGGGATGTTGGTGTCCCAGCCTCCTTTGCGAGATTATTTTTCCTCAGTGAAGTGATTAACCTGCGTATCTAATAATTCTGGTTTGTGAGAGCACACAAATCTGAAGAATCTACCTCTCAGTGCTAGATACTCAATTTGTTAGTACTTCTTGTGACATCAATATAAAATTATTCTGATACACAAGGACGAGCAGTCATTTAAGACACCCCTAGTACCGTCAGGCGCATGGAAAATTGTAACTGCAATTCCCCCCCCTTGACAGATCTTAAGTCTCCAAGTCTTGACTACCACATTTATTTTTTCGGTGTTTACAACAAATTGCAAGGAAATTATTATTGTAAAAAGCAAAACCGAAAAAAAGGGAAAAAGCCAAATAGAGAGTTATTCACATATAAAGTTACCCTCTGGCTAGAAACTAAATAACTTCAAAATTTTCACAGAATTTCCCAACAAAAATTATTTCAAACTTACTGAGAGTATCAGATGTTGTTCTGCCAGTTCAAGCAAATTAAAAAAATTAAAAGTGAAAATATTATATGCTAATGCCAAATATGCCTATTCATAGGACTCCTAAAGCACTCAAGAGCTTTGGAGTATCTAATCAACAACATTTCTTTATATCGCCTTAAAAATATGTAATACCTGCTTGCAAGTTGCCTGGATATCTTGTGGAATTTCTTTCACAGAGAATATAATTAGGTAAATTTTTTTTTTTAAACCTGGAAACCATTGCTACCTTAGAACTATTCCTCAGAACACAAATATCAGATTATTTTCCTAAGACAAGAATTATTTCTATGAATAACTATGCATTTTAGACTGTAACCTAGCAACATAGTTGATTAATGAAGCTCAGAATGTACAAGTACTACAAACATCTTGCTTCCCTAATCCCCAACCAAAAAGTCCTGTCCACCTGGAATTTCCTTTCTTATGAAATAATTACTTGAAAACCTCAAGGGACCTGGTGAACAAACCCATTCCGACCGCATTCCATTCACTCTCACGTTTCACCCTCACAACCACTCAGTTAAATCCATCTTTTTTAAAAACTTTAAATTACTTCGAAACGATCCAGAGACAAGCACTATCTTTTCGCAGCCTCCGCTCATTTCATTCACATGCGACAAAAACATAGGCAATTTTTTGGTCAGAAGCTCTTTTCAGACTAATGACCAACCAGGCACTTTTAAATGCGCTCATGCACAATGCAAAATGTGTCCTTTCATTCACAACACTGATAAAATATCAGGACCTAAACGATCCATTAAGATCACCGATCACTTCACGTGCACCTCCACCAATGTAATCTATTGCATAACTTGCACTTATTGCAAAAAGATATACAACGGCGAAACCGATTCCGAGAACACCTTTGAGACGTGGAAAGGAATGACAAGGACACATCAAAACCAGTCGCTAGACACTTTAATTTACCTAATCATTCTAAGCAACATATGGCAATCTGCGGTCTTTCCTTGCACTTAGGTAGCACAGAAAGCCGTAAAACTCTTGAACAAAAGCTCATCTTTCAAACCGGCAGTCTAAATCCCACAGGGATCAACGAACGCTTTTCATTCCACTAATTTATTCATGTTTTTCTCGTTGCCATGTTCCCACCAATAACGTAGCTCCATTTTCTGCCTTTAAAAGCACACACAACCCACAATTCCTCTATTCGCTCCAACAAAGGGCTAACGCTCGAAACGTCAGCTTTTGTAATCGTTACGGTGGCCAATTTACCACTTCAACTTTGTTGATATAAAGTTTTCAGACTATGATCTTGAATCAGTGGTAATATTAGCAAAAGAAGAAACTGTAAACAAAGTATAAATTATACCCTGCAATCTGAAACTAAACTAATATATCTATGTAAAAATTATATGAGAATGGCAAGAGTACCATATAACCCCATACATTAATTATGCATTCAGACTAGTTGACTTTGTTTTTAAAGTTTTGTCGTGAGAGACAAAGAAGTGGAATGCATAATTAATGTATGGGGTTATATGGTACTCTTTCCTATGAGAACTAATATGGTCACATAGGAAAAAAAAAACTATTGTTCAGCGACTTGAAAATTACAGTAATTGTGAAAGTCGGATGCTGCCGAGCAAATTTTGGTGAACAGTTTCTATCGTCCAACACAATAGTGTAAATTAAAATGGAATTGCTTTTTTATAATTCACACCCAAACTTATTAAAAAGTCCCTGAAGGCCAGGTGCAAAGAGTTTTAGATGTTCAACTTGATCAGGAAATTCAAATTATTAAAAAGAATATTTAAAAGGAGTATGAATTACTTTTCTACAAACTAGCCACAAACGAAAATGGTCCAAGTCGTTCGTGTACTTCTGAATTTATCGGCGCATTTCTTTCTGAAGTAAATCGTTTGAGAATCGCATTTCGATCAGATCGTTGCATATGGTGTTTTGACGCCCAAAATCAATACTCGTAACGCTGCGATTGGCTCAAGGGCTCAATGAAATACACTGACCATGACTTCTACACATAACAGAAAACGGTGATATCTCGAGACAATTTAAAAGGGAATCGAAATTTTAAATAATCCTGCTTGTTTTATAGACTCCAGCACAGACGCACTCATGAGAAAGCCACACACAAAACATAAATAAAACAGCTGTACTTTTTTGTACCTTAGGAGTGCGCTTGCTTTTCTTACTCCGCTCTGCATCATCGCCCGCAATTCTTATGAACTGCATAATCTACCATTGAACTTGTATGAGCCGCTTACTGTATTTCGTTAACGACGAAAGACTCGCCAAACTTTGTATGAAAAAACACCTAGCACCATCCGGTCAATGGTTTGATCATGCAGTGGCTCAATTATGCAAATCGTGGTTCAAAATTTCATTAAAAAGTGCAGTTTAACGAGACAGGAATATTGTACATAACAAACAAAAGAGCGCGCCATTTATAGGATCGTAGCGATAAACAAAGAATTCGAAGACAATATTGGTCGGAAATTCTATTCGAACTCTACCTATACTATCTTTAATCGTGCCTTAGAATTACTTTAATGACTCACCATTATAATTTCTATGTTAAATATGACCAAATACCCGGCAGATGTCGATAACCCTAAAATCACCAAATTAAAAGAAGGATCCACTTGAATCGGTCACGGCAGTACGCTTTCACCATTTCGTCGTTCTAGAGCGAAAAGTCACAGGTCCTCGCCGCCCTAACTGTTTCAGTCTTTCCTCAGAAGAAGCATTGAAATCACAAAGAGGCAGAAAAGAGACACTTAAATATCAAACGGTCTTTAGTCGAGAAGGCGAGTTGGTTGTTCTCTTAGTAAGCCAGCACCGTTAACGACAACTCAAACAGTGAATAACTTGACCAATGGCAAGTTGGGTCGCCAAATGAATAAATTAATATGTCCACCTGAAAAGGCTGTAGCAAGTCTTAATGATCGGGAAAGGCCTCGAAATTATCCAAATCCTCAGTTACAGCTGTACTTGTGGTTATCACAAATGTATCACCGAGAAAATGCAAATCGTCTTGGATAAATTTTTTGACTAATTGTCGCGGAGCGCATATGCAATTCATAATTTACAATGCAAATTTACATAAACAGCCACTAAAGTTAGGCAACGAAGTCACCGATTCATTTTAAGACTAAACAAAAGGAGGAGCCATTTTATCATTGTAAAGCACGTTACAGAGGCATCTTCTTTCTGGAGGGTTAATTCCCATCTAAAATATGCTGCATTTTGGGTCTGCTAGGCGCGATCACTGTGACGCGTGCAACAGTAACAAAGACGGGCGGAAGGGAGGCGGGCGGATTGTCTGAAGACGTTGTTGCCACTTGCAAAGCTACTGCAGGGCTTTATTGGGCTACAAGCGGAAAACTCGACATTTTTTAGTGTTCTTTCCAGAATATCTTAGCTGAGTGCCACGATAAAACTTTTTCAAGCCTCTTTCGTGCGTGCGTTGCCAAGTGAATCAAGCTTTTATTCAGGAATCTCCAGTCTGGTTTGCTTGCAGCTAATTACCTAATTTGCCTGCGTTCGCTAAATACCTTAGAGAGGAAGGCAAAAGTAAATTATCAACCGGTCTAATGTCAACCGACAACTGTCAAAGTCTAGAAATTTTTTTCACCATAGGTTAAAGGAGAAGTTACGTTCATCTTTTGGTCATTGACTTTCATGAGTTTTTGGCTCCTAAAGGAGTTTTTTTTTTTTTGTCAATGGTTATCTTTATTAAAATGTACTTAATTTAATTTACATGGGTTGTGCGAGGTGAGCACAGGCCTCCAGAAGTTCTTTTGAGTTCCTTTGGCCGTCTTCATATTGAATCCAAAGGTAGAAGAGTCTTCTCTGCATTGTTCGGTAGGTTGACCCCTGATGTCCCTTCAGCTTTTTGTCTGAAACCAGACGGATCTGCATTTTGACCAATGTAAACAGAAGAAACACAGTTCACTTTTGTAAAATATACTTTACAATTCGACACGCACAGCAGAGAAACGGTCGTAAGAAGCAAATAACAAGAACATTGTTTATTTCAAAATACATGATAGGGAAACGTTCGTAAAGTAAACAGCAAGTGCATAGTTCATTTCAAGGATGGTGGGCTGGGGGCTATTAGTCCAGAAACAGAGGGCTAATCGTCAAAAGACTGGGAGCTAATTAATCGTCTGGGCAAATTGTCCAGGGAGGGAGTTGTCCGGATACCCCTAACAAGTAGTCCTTCCTTTTCGCGAGGAACTGTGGGAGTGAGGCACACGAAAAGTACCTTTCAATCCAGTTGCCAAGCTAGTTACTTTGGAATGGCATTGGTAAATTGTTCCTCAATAAAGGCCTCAAAAGCAATTCCACTTTCGTTTCTGTCACTCGTGTCCAAAATTTGACTCTATAGTGTTCAAAATCGTACACTTGTGTCTAATATGAGACTCTTGTCCCTTAAAATGGACACGTGTCTAAGATCAAAGACAACTGTCTGAAATGGGAAACTGGCATCTAAAATCAGACGCTGGTGTTCAAAATTGGAACTTATGTTTGAAATTGAACACTGGCGTCCAAAATCGGACAATTAGTGTCTAAAATTAGACTGCTGAAATGGGAAACTGGCATCAAAAGTTGGACATCAGTGCCTAAAATCAGACACTGGTGTCAAAAATCAGACACTGGAGTTGATTGGACCCTTGTGTCCAAAATCGTACACTTGTGTCTAATATGAGACTCTTGTCCCTTAAAATGGACACGTGTCTAAGATCAAAGACAACTGTCTGAAATGGGAAACTGGCATCTAAAATCAGACACCAGTGTCTAAAATATGACACTTGTGTTCAAAATCAGACAAAGGTATTTACTCTGGTCCCTTAAATTGGACATTAACGTCCAAAATCAGACTCTGGTCCCTTAATTGGACATTAGTGTCTAAAATTAAACACAAAAGTCTAATTGTGGATACTAATGTTGAAAATTGGACACAAGTGTCTAAAATCAGACACTTGGGTTTAAGATTGGACAAGGGTTATTTAATCTCTTTCATTTTTTCCATCACCTCTCTACTCGCAAATATTTCAATATTGTAAGGGGAAATTATTCTTTTGTTCCTACCCACAGGACAAAAAGAGGAGTTCAGTTTGCTCTTCCTCAGTTGGACCATTGACTGTGGTAAAAAACACTTAAATCTACTGATGAATGACTGGATGATTTTTATGTAAGCAGATCCCCCTTTCCCCTGGCTGGAAGATATCATAACCAAATTTGTTAAAATACATAAACTAAGGGAAAATTTTGCTCTGACTTAAATTTTATTCAAGAATAATCAAATTCACCATGACTATTGAGTATCATTAACATAATTATTAATATTAATCAATTAATAATATTGTAGGTTAATTTTAAAAGTCGGAAGGACTTGCAAAAAAATAGGCCAGGCTGCTTGCTGCACTAAAAGACTCTTTCAAACTAGGAACACCACACAAAATTGTTTTAAAGGATGAGCTTCCTTGCTCAGTTGTCTAGAAAAGCATATTTCAGTTAAATCACTTTACACAAATTCAATAGCAAACAGTGGCTTAAATTCATAACCATTATGCTGTGCTCAAACATTACAGGATCTCTGATGAAGTTACACCTAAACATTCTACAGCTCATAATTCAAGGCACCTTCTGTATCCTAACATCAGTATACATATTCTCCCTACTGTTCTCTATACATTAATTTCCTAGGGTGCTGGCAAGGAAAATTTGTTTAACAAGAAAGACCTTCTTTATTTGGTGATCATTTCCTTTATTCTCATCAACCTAATATGTGATCCAGGGTTGATATTGTAAGGAGAAATTGGATGCTAATCACTCTCATGGGTCAAAGGGCCAATATTTCAGATGAATTTAAAGAAACAAGAAAAACCAAAAGAAACATGGATGCACAACATTGGAGAGGACTGTAGGGCACCACATCCAAATGAGCTTGCTTGTGGAGAGTGACTGGTTGCTCTAAATTTAATGAACAGTGGTTCATTTGATTTGATCACCTATGATTTTATACAAAAATTATGACTTTTCCTTAACAGCAATTTCATGTGAATATGAATGACATATTCTTATGTCCATATGGTTGACAGCATTGCATCGTTGTATCCTTAACATTTGGAGCTCTCAATCATCAGAGCCAAACATTGCAGCACAAATGCCCACACAACACACACAACAACACAGGACCCCTGTAAAAATGTATGCAGAGGTTGTTATCCAAAATGCAAACAGATACAACGTTTTGTGACAATATTCTGGATCTGAAAGGTCAGGAGTGTAGTGTGGCTGATAAATCCGATAGATCCAGACATTTCCACAAATAAACCAGACAAACAGGAAACAGTCTAGGATGCTCTCAAAAGGCCGCTTCTTCTTCTCATCATCATCCTCATTGTCATTACTTTTCATGGATCGCTGACACAAGGAGATGAGGTTTCTGAACACACCCACGGCTCCACCAACAATAAGGTAGATGGGAATCTTATCTTCAACTGGACACTGGTTCTTGTATTTAGCTCCTGTAAAATGGATTCAATTTTAAATCAATTCTACAAGACTTGATTGAAATTGCCCCTTCTACCTGAGATGGTTTCACAGTCAAAGTACTAAAGGCACATAAAGATAAAGCTTTAACTTACCTATAACTATCATAGCTATGGGAATAGCCATAATAAGTCCAATCATTATGGTACATCCAACTAAAAATAGTATCAAAAAAATTAATCAAAACAACTTGAAATAGTACCTTGTAGGCACAAAATTTTATAAACACAGATTTGAGGTTCTCTACTAGTCAGTAACAATCTTGACTTTTTCCCATTCATTCCCATGGGTCCATGGAAACCACCTACTGTCTTATTCTGGTTTGGCAAGGCTGTGCCCTAAGGAAAATTGAATGGAGCCTGATGCTCTGAAACTGTGAAATCCAGGGTGCCCAGCATATGGTTTTTATGAAAAAACTAAAATTCCTGAGTCGCCCACGAGCAAAAGTAAGGTGCCAGGGGCCACCGGGCGCTGCTAGACCACAGCCTTATTTGGGCTGTTTTCTTGGGCTGCCTCTATGTGGCTTGGCTGCCTAGCTGGCAACTTTTCTGTAGTTTCTCTCCAGCTGTCCTGGAACAACCTTGAATCCTCTTTCCTTTTAACCCTTTACACCCTAACATCAGTATGCATTCTCCATACTGTTCTCTATACATTTCCTAAAGTGCTGACTGGGAGAATTTGTTTAACAATCAAAAGCTTTTTTTGGTGGTGATCATTTCCATTATTCTCATAACCTTACAGTGTGATTCAAGGGTGACATTGTGGGTTAAGGGTTAAAGATTAGGGTTAAGCAATGTAAGAAGGCAACAGGGATCTTGCACAGATAACTGGCAACAGACCCCGTGCAAACCTCTTCATGACTTGTCTCAAACCTTTCTGCAAGCAGAGAAACACAAGTCCTGCAGTGCAATTAAATAACAAAGTCCTGCTCTCAAGCTACAGTTAAGGAAAAACTATTTCCTCTACATGAATTTTCCACATTATGGTTTGGTTCATTAAACTTTTTAAAAATCTCTAAACTCAATAAAAGCCCTATTATTCTAAAGAACAGTGACTTTCTGAATTTTATAACATGCTGTCTGTTAAAAACAGTGACATGAATACTTACTTGTTCCAATAAGTATCAAAAAGAGTTTCTTTAAGAAATCAAGCACCCCACTGGAACTGGTGTGTGCATCTTGGATTTCACCAAACAAGGACTGATATGAAGGTGGTGGGCCTTGTAAAGGATAGAGAAATGGGTAATAATGAACAATGGTTCTCATTTTGGCTCAACTGTTGGTCAACTGTTGGCAAACAGGTTACCGACACATTACCAACAGTTGGCCAACAGTATTTAAGTAGACCAAAATTTGACTGAAAACAGATTCAACACTTTTCCAGTTGAAAACAGTACTTGGTTCTGTGAAACAGTAAAAGAAGCTCATTAAACCACCTTCCAACTATACATACCAAAATTTAGTGGTATATTTAGTACCTATTTCTTATATCTTTGTCTGTACACAAAATAAACTTTTTTCTCCATTTTGTGGTAACAACTAAGCAAAGCCAAAAGTAGTTTTTCAATCGCCCTATGATGCATTGCAAAATCATAGTTAACAGTACCAAGGGATTGGGAACTAGAACAACTTTGGGCAAGTCTTGCTAACCAATGCAAAAAAGTAAGCAAAAGCCACAGTAGCTTTGAAGCATAACGAAAACTGTTAGTCAACAGTTGGTCTACAGTCAGCCGACTGTTGGCTGTCTGTCAGCCTACTGTCAGCCCACTGTTGGCCAACTGTTGGCTGACAATGTCTTTCTGGAACCATTCTTCACTCATCGAAAAGTTAAATCAGTAGTATTAACCTTTTACACCCTCAGGATGACTGTTCTTCATACTCATGTGACACCTCATGGTACAATACTCTTACAAATCAGGAAAAAGAGGCAATTTTTTATACTTACAAGGCAACCAGAATGGTTGAAGCTTGGAGAACTGAATTTTATTTCTCTGGAGAGCAGCTACACTTACCCATTGCTTCATCATAGGAGGGGGGTGAAGGGTTGTCAGTTCCATATGAAGGAGTTATCCCTGATGAAGGATCAGCTGGACCCCCCTGAAATAGAAATGAAAAGTTTAAACCCTTTCAATAGCAAGATCTAAAATATAATTCCTAAAATTGCAATGAAGTATAATCATTCTGACGTGGTTTCAACCAACTGTACAATCGTAGCCTTCCTCGGGCAATGAGGCTAATGGGATACAAAGTCACCTTATGAAGCATTATGCAAGGCTGTGCTCTATGGAAAATTGAATGGAGCCCATGAAGTGCTCTGAAACTGTGAAATCCAGGGTACCCAGCATATGCTATTTATGAAAAAACTAAAATTCCTGAGTCCCCCAAGAGCAAAAGTAAGGCATCAAGGGACACTAGGCACTGCTAGACCACAGCTTTGACTATGTCCAGGGCTTGACACAGACTTTTCAACTTACCAGCCAAGTGGCTAGTGACATCTTACATAGTACAACAATTTAAGTTTGTTTACTAGCCAAACTGGCTTGTAGAAATTGAAAACTTCTAGCCAGAACTGAATTTTTACTTGTCTGTGGCTACTGGGCTACCTTTGGTGTTGAACCCTGTGTGTCTTGCTGTGATTGACTGGTAATTGACTGTTGTGAGGCATAATTTTGAAGAAATGTTGCACTGGCTGCACCACGAGGAAAAGGCTTATACTTTATTACAAGTGTAATATCCAAATTGAATCTGACCAAAACATTTTCCTTTTCAATACTGTCTGGTCTACAGTTTTTGTAGTTTAAGGCATCAAGGTCTGGTAATAAAAATAGCAATAGATAAAATGAAATAAAAACACACACATTCCACCAGAGCCTAATCTGATTTCCACAGCGAAAAAAAAAATCAGCAAGAAATTTGTAAAAATTCACGCAAATTATTTTGCAACAATGCTTGGGGTTAATTTTTAGTAAATGACGTTAGCACACAAAAGAGCAATATTCATTCTGTAAATGTCCTATTTTGGGAAAAACAGCTGTCCGAAAGGAGACACCAGAAGTCTCGAATGTTCAATGAATGATTTACAGCTGTGCAAAAGTAGGATGAAAGGTCAGATTTAATATGAAAGTTTGAAATTGGTGCAATAGATGCAAATCATCATCACTATTAAATTTATCATTTCAAGCATTTTAAAATAGGTGTATAAATTGTTCACACTTTGCCACTTAGATTGAGAAGCTAGTTGACAACCTTGAGCTGGCAATGAAAAGAAAGCTTTCGTTCTACATACTTGAGCTCCTAAACTTAGTTGCGACATGTATAGTTGCAAGGTGCCACTAAATTGATGGCCATTTCATAGCAAATGGAAGTGGAATTTGGGATACACCACCCATTTTATGCCAAAACAGTTGATTTGGGAAAATTAGCAATTTTATTCAGTTGCTATTCATGTAATTATCTTCTAGTTTTAATTCGTTTCATTTCTCAGCACAAACAACGATTATATTTATTTACCAAAGCAAAAAACAGATGCAAATCGTTTCTATGGCAAATTACCCCCGTCGCTTGAAGCACAAATCGCCTGGCATTTTCAATGGATTCACCAGAATTAAAGGTTGTTTTCTGCTTCAAAGTCTGAACTGCGAAGTGACATTGAGGGCTTTCATGTCACTGGTTTCTTCGTTGGCGTATTTTTTTATTCTTCAGTGAGCTTTCACATAATATTTTGTACTTTTTTAATCGGCGGTAAAACAGAGTAACTCGATAGCTCAGCAAAATAAAATTAAAATACCACAGGCTTAACCTAAACTATCAAACATTGAATCGAACACTGCATTTCGAAAGTTCGACTTGCGTTCATCACGTGAGAAGATTCTTTTTTATTGTACGACAATTAATTAAAAGAAGCATTTTTGCCTTGAATCTCTGAATAGCGAACGAAAAGAAGACCCTTTTGGACATCTGTATTAAAGAAGAAATAGAGAAAGGAAGTAATTGAATAACACTGGTAGCTTATTAAGTTGATAATTTGTACTTTCACTTTCCAGAGGACTACGCGACAGACTGACATCATCATAACAGAAAATGTATCTTCCGTAAAGCATGCTCGACAATGAACCACGGTAGAAACTTTGTTTGACCTCATAAAAAAAAAAATTAATGTTTTGTGGTACCAGAAGAAATCTTGAGCGCTAAAAGGTCGACTTTTGATATGAAATTTGGATCTCTTAAGTGTCTTCCGCCATTTGGCGCGAATCTGCTTAGACACAAATACAAGCAGTTCTTGAAGTCGTGCAAAAATACAAATGACTTTCGCTAGGTACACACCTCAATGGGTCGTTTCTCCGTAGCAGCCATTAATCACTTATTCACTGGTCCTGGGCTTATGTTGGGGGCACAGCGCACAAAGCTCACCACTTCAACCAAGAGGAAAGAATAAATCCACTCCCTTTAGTAATTAACATATCAAATTATGTTGCCATCCCAAGGTCCCCCTCTTTGGCCTCTAGGATGTCGTTCATCACAGGGGGTGGGTGAAATTTACTTGACCTGATCAATACATTTCAATCAAGACTTCACCAATCGGTTTTTTTCCCAACAAAGGAGTCTGCGGACTGCAAGAAAATGGGAAGAATCTTGCAGATGTCCCAGAAGGCTATTTTAACCCAGACTTCATAAAGCTCTGCGTGCCTCAGAAACATTTTCGTCCACTAAACAAAAATTAGAACATAGCTAGCAGAGTCGCGCAATCAAATTCATTATACGTGAGCGTGCTCAAAATCCCGATAGTGCACGCTGATAGCGTCAGCAAATCCGACTTCGCCAGAAATTTTTTTTTTCGCGCGAGCGGCCATTGTTGGCGCAGGGAAATATAATATATTTCGCGACAATAATGCATACAAACAGAAACTCGGCCTACTAGTCCGAAAACGAAGACAATGTTTCGACCTTTTCCCTTGGGCTAGAGCTCTTAAGTGAGGCAGAAAAAGAGAAAAACAAAGGGAAAGGAGACCCGGCATCAGCGCCGTCACGATTCGGTTCAACTGATATTGTTGTCCCGGCGTTTTTCGCGTCGGACTTTGATGCACAATTCCACCGGCTATGTTCTAAAACAATTGGTTTATGCTTTCAGCTGTACACTATCGAGTTATGGAGCACGTGGGGAGTTTGGAAAGCACTCAAGAAGCGAGAGTTGCCCTCGGCTATCGCCTCGGGCAACTCTTACGCTTCTTTCGTGCTCTCCAAACTTCCCGCGTGCTCCATAACTCGATAGTGCACGCTAAAGCATGAACCAATTGTTAAACAGCAATAGGTTACTGCAGGAAAAGCAAAACTTAAAAAATTTAGTTCTCTTGCTTTTCCATACATACATACCATGTATGTATGGTAATCGCCCACATAGACAACTGATTTGGAAAGTCGTAATAACACAAAGGGACAATTCAATATTTTCCATAGAATCATGGCATAAAATGTTGATATATGCCTCAGCAAAACAATTACAATGCCTCGCTGACAACTTTTCAGAAGAACCATTCTTTGTCATTTCTTTCTAAATGTGTTCTTAATGATCCAAATTTGCGTTTGATGCTAGGAGAATGCACTTTATTGATGTAGCTTCCATCTGTAGGCCATGCAATTTCAGGGTTTTGGGGCCCACTTAGAAAGGCATACCAATCACCTTGATTTCATGGAAGGGCCTCAAGGCTGTGTAGCAGCCAACTACATGTGTGTTCTATCATATCAGTAAAGATGAACTTTTCTAATCCGTAACTATTACTACCTGGTTTTAATATATTTTTAAAATTAACAACTTTTTTGAGAATTACTGAATAGTTTTCTTTTTTCTGGTAAGAAAATAAAGCAGCCTGGAAAGAAAGACAATTAATTTATGGCTAGTGCTAGAATTAAGAAGTCTGTTGCATGCTTTGTGGTTCTGTTTTCAATATCTAGGGAAGTTTAATGTGGAATAGTAAATTGTGACTTGAGAGTACCTTGGAGATCAGCATCTTATATTAAAATAAAATGCTAGCAAAATATATCATATATACATATACTTCCCTAAGCAGTGACAAGTCAGTATAAAATGCTCTCACTTGTTTACTTTTTGTGGAAGTTTTTTTAGCATGTTATTAAGTAACTCTTAACAGAGTTTATAAGAAGAATTGTCCAACAATAGAGGGCTTTCTGAGTTTGCGATCATTTTCTTTATTCTGCCTGGTGCGATTCCATGTGAAATTAGATGCTAGTCACTCATGGGATCAAAGAGTTAGGATCTAGCTAAGAAATTCCAAGTAGTAGATAGAGAATTCTCTCTCCTCAGATGCTTCCTGCACCTTGTGGCAAATGTCTCATGATAACACACTATTCACATTTTATATCAGACACAATCACACACACTCACACACACACTTTATTTTCTTTTTCTTACAAAATAATTTAGATTATGTTGACCCGCAGATAGCAAATTTGCTATTCGAGGCGGGTCAATCATCAACAAACATTATTTACAATATAAAAAGAAAATTAAAAACTAAATAATTAGATATTGTTAAATTATAAAAAGAAGCATAGCTGGCAAATACATCAATAGTTGTTCAATAAAGTATAGAAGCAAATACATTAGTACTGAAAGCAATCGGATCAATTTGTTTTAATTATGCAGTCCTTAAGTTTAGAGGAGATCTTCATTATCTAGTATCTGAAATAAAGACGTTTTAATTTGTTTATTAAAGGAATGTTTTGATAACGTTTTGAATTCTTTCGGTATCTTATTCCAAATTTTGACACCAACACGCGAGAAAGCCTTTTTTTGTAGGTTAAGTTTAGAGTACTTTGTACTAAAGAGCTGCGATTTGGATGATCGAGTATTGTAGGTATGAATATGAGATGTTTTAGTAAATAGTTTCAAAATATTAATGGGAGCCCTCTGGTTGTGCACGTCAAACATAAGTTTACTTACGGCTTCATAATATAGGAACGTAACAGGCAGAATTTTTGCTTTGGCAAATAAAGGGATGGCATGCTCTCTTCGATCGGTGAAATAGATTAATCAAGGCCTTACATGTAACCTACACAGCTATTGCTGTTAACTTCTGATGCATCTATCAATGGCTTTTTCCATTTTATCTTTCACTATTACATTGAAGTTCTGAATGACTGCAAGCTACAGGGCTTGACACTAACGGTAGCCCACTAGTCACAAAATAGCAAAAATTCAGTTTTGGCAAGTGGTTTTCTATTTCCGCTAGCCAGTTTGGCCAGTAAACAAACTGAAATTGTTGTAAAATCTAAGACGTCACTAGCCACTTGTCTAGTCAGTTGAAAAGTTAGTGTCGAGCCCTGAAGCTATATGATAATCTATAACACAAGATGATACAAAAAACCTGACAGTAATGTACTGTGCATGTAATATACCCATTTACATTGTACATTAAAGTAATCTTCAAAAATGTTAAATTCAGACAGTCTAAAAATGTCTTGGCTACTGATGTTCAAAGAGTTCTCGTATCTTTTTTAAACTTGGCGCATAGCGGGCTTGTCTTTTAAACGAGCTCTCTTTCCAACTGCAACAGAAATAGCAGAATAGAACTTAAAGCTTACATATTTAAAGGCTGTATACAAAAAAAATTTACACAAGTTGAAAAATCTCAGAAAAAATCAGTCATACAAAGATTTACCCTTGAGATTAAATTGCTCAACAATTACATTTCCAGAAGCCTAGATCGTACACATTAAGATTTACCACAAGTTTAAGAATCTCCAAAAAATCAGTCATATAAAGCTTCACACTTGACATCAAATAGCTCAACAAATAAGCTGGTAAACATAGAATGATTTCAGAATAGACTAGAATACTTTAAAATTCCACAGAAGTCCAAGCCCAAGCTGGAAGCCAGCTGGCCAGAGGTGATTTTTTCTTATTAAAGAAGAAATTTATTACTCACTTAGATTTCACTTTCTTCCACCTGTCCATGTGATTTCTTTTCAGATCACTCACTGATGGAGCTTTATCAGAATCCTAGCAGAGAAATGGTGGATCATATTTACTGTAGGTGCTCTCGACCCATATATCAGTCAATATATCAGTCAACACTTGGTTGACACTTGGTCAATAGTCAGTCAACACGAGGTCCATATTTGGTGGACAGATGGCTGATACTCAGATGATGGTTGATGGTTGATAATCTCGACCGAAATATCGACCAACTATCAACTGAGTTTCAACCAAGTATCTGCCAACTATCAACCAAGTGTTGACCAAGTGTCAACTAAGAGTTGACCTAGTGTTGACTAACATATTGGTCGAGTACTGACTGACTCTTGACTGTAAACATGATCCAAAATGGTTATAGGAAGCTGGTTAACCCACAAAAATTGACCAGATTTCAACTGAGCATTGGAAGTAAATCATGATGGTTTGGTTTTGCTTTAACTTCCTCTGTAGCAGAAAGCTAACAGAAAAGCTTTAAACCTGCTACTCAGGTTTGGAAAACAAAGGACATAAAATATCTTGGATATATCAACAAAGTTGAAAGGTAAATTGGCCACCGTAATGATCACAAAAGCTGATGTTTTGAGCGTTAGCCCTTCTTCAGAGCGAATACTTTAAAATTCCACAAAAGTCCAAGCCCAAGCTGGAAGGGCTAATGCTCGAAACGTCAGCTTTTGTAATCGTTACTGTGGCCAATTTCAACTTTGTTGATTATTTCGTTACTCCCACCGACGCAGCCCCAAACAGTTTCTTTCAAAACTATCAGCCTTTAGACATAAAATATCTACTTACATAATGTATATCAAGTGAGAGTGTCCCTTTTGGAAGAGTACTGTTCATCTCAAAGTCTTCGATTAATTTCACTGGATCTGGAAAACTTTACAGAAAGAATTTAGGGACTAATATAGCACAGCAAATACTCACATAACATAAAAAGCCCTTAATCCTGGGTTTGGCCTCATGGGTTTCTAATGGAATGGTTGTTTAGTGAAGAATCTTCCTACCATTATCTAATCTAAGACTAGCTACATGCATTTCCTTTATCAATTACCTGTAAACATTCTTTGGATCACTGTCACCATTCTGTTCAAAAGAATTTGAAACATTTAGAGATGTGCATTGTGTGTAAAAGAACAAATAGCATTTACAAATTGAGAAAGTACATTCTAAGGTGATTGAAATCAAGAAAGTAGTGTACAGTTGCAAAGTTAAGCATAGCGTGCCAAAGCCTGACAAACAATTCTAGAATAAGCTTTGATTACATAATTACAGCGAGAAATATGATTTATGTGTAACCCTTTGTTGTTAGAGTATCTGTGAAAATATTCCTACTACGTGTCGCATGATATATGAAAACTTGTTCGTACTTTCCGTCTTAAAACATGTAGGAACGCTAGTTCCGCAGGATTTACACAAGTGTCCTCCCATATCTGAGAAATTGCAGATTATTATGTGGTAATTAAGTTGTTCATGCCAAGGGAAACTCGTATTATCTTCTGTATTTTGTATCACGTATGATTTAGCTACCATTATGTATATAAGAACCTTGATTAAAGCAATAAAGGATATTCAGTTGATTGTAAAGCAGTTGAGTGTCCTTCACCCCGTGTGCGAGCTCGCGGTAAACCCAATGTTTGCCTAAGCATTGAAACAGCTCGACGCTAACCGACCCTCGGCCGAAATTATACTACAGTACCGTAAATTCTCTAAAATGCCCCGGGGGGTTATTTATTTCAAATACTTTAAGGAGTGGCTTACTAGAGGGGAGGGCTTAATAAAGGTGCGGGGCTTATTAATTTAGCGCATTGTTCACTACCTGGATACAATAGGATAGGATGTATCATATTTATTCAAAAGTTGTTCTCCTTTCAATTTTTTTAATTTTTTCAATTACAGTACTCAAGTAAATTTATCCTACTTACAGACAAACAACAACAAACAAACTTTATTCTTACTCTGATTACAGACATTCCTAATTGAAAATTCTTATTACAAAAAAACATGATTAAAATGGTTTGCCCCACAAATAGCTAAGAAGCTAGTCGCAGCGGGGCAAACATGGAGTGTTATTTGAATTTTGTTTATTTAATTGGGAGGGGCTGGGGCAGGGGGTTAATGAATTTCTTCCCCTAAAGAGTGGTGCTTATCAGAGGGGGGAAACTAATTAGTGGGAGGAGGGGCTTCATAGAGGATCTATGGTAAGGTGTGTTTTTTTCTACTTACACTATGGGACATAGATGACATGGCACTCTCCTGGCTGCTTGTTGGAGATTCTTTGTCTTGGTTGCCCTCTTGAGAATCAGATGGCTTGGTTCCATAGGGCTTGTTTTGCATCCACGCTCTTGCCAGGGCATATAGGGTTGTGTCTTCATTAAACTGGGCAAAATCCACACTGCGATCAAACAGCTTCATGACAAAGCTACCAGGGAAAAAAAGTCAAGGGAATGAAATATTCCAAGTATTACACCTCTGAGTAAACTCAAAACCAGAGCTGATATAAAGGTTTTCCTTAGAAAATGTAGTATCTGAAGAACAATGCGAAGTAAAAAGAATATACATGTATATTCGGAGCTCGACACCAATGGTAGCCAACTAGCCACAGACTAGTAGAAATTTAGCTTTGGCTAGTGGTTTTCAATTTCCACCAGCCAGTTTGGCTAGTAAACAGACTGAAATTATCATAACATCTAACTTGTCGCTAGCCATTTGGCTGAAATTGTCATAACATCTAAGTTGTCTCTAGCCACTTGGCTGATAAGTAATATATCTTATTAACCAAGTGCGAGGGCCATACTGGGTGAATATCGGCCCGAGGTCTTGACAGTATGGACCAAGCGCAGTGAGGTCCGTACAAAAAAGACAGAGGGCTGATATCATTCGGGACCATTTGGGACAGTGCCCAGTCCAAGACTGAGAGAATATTGACCAGCAATAGAGCATTTTGATTGGTTGATTTTAGTTATTGGCCCTCTGACTGCCCAAGTCGAGTAATAAGAAAAGTTAATGTCAAGCTCTGACATTACCTGAATACAAAATAGTTTGGGCCATTAGAATTTACTCCTTTAATCCCATAAGAGTGACAAACATCTAATTTCTCCTTACAATATCACCCCTGAATCAAACATTAAGGTCTGGAGAATTTAGGAAGTGGTCACCAACTAAAGCTCTTGATCATTAGACAAATTCTCCTTGTAAGTAACTCAAGACATGTATGGAGAACAGTATAGAGAATATATGCATACTGATGCTAGAGTATGTGTGTTAAGGATTTGATAAAACTCTGTACAGGGTACATGTAGCACAGTGACTGGAAGTCATTTCAATTTAACAGAGCACTGTACTAAGCTAAAAACATTTCAGTGCAAATGCACTCAGCCAAATAAATCTTACCTTGCTGAGGAGATAAGTATCCCAGTCAGATGTCATGATCAAGACCCAAAAAAACATACAAAGCAGAATCAAACATTCTTCAAGACAGCCACTAATAAAATTTTAAAATTAATTTGATGTAAAAAAAAAAACAATAATGTTAGGCATGATACAAATAAATGACAATAGAAATATTAAGTTTCTAAAAAGTACATACGGTTCTGACTACTTCCATCTGCATCTACAAAGGGAGAAAAATAATTGAAATTATTCATAATCAGATTTTATAGCAGGGAGGAAAATAATGAATGTTGGGTTAACCTGAAATCTCAAGCCTCTCAAAATAATCTGACAAACTAATATCACAGCAATGTAATTTGGTTATATCAACTCAGTTGAAATATGTAAATTGGCCACAGTAACGAATAAAAAAGCTGATGTTTTGAGTGTTAGCCCTTAGTCATAGCAACATAATCTAAACATACAAAAAATTTGCTATGAATTTGTCACAATTGTATAACCTTTGTTTACTCTCCCATCTGTTCACTGAAATGCCATTTCTGTCATACTAACCATCATATCCTACATCTTTTTTGCGTCTTTTTCTTGGCGTTTTTCCTAGAACAGAAGATCCTGGACATGTTCAGATGTTAATTGTACAACTAATTAGCAAGTCGTTCTGCAAGTGGAAACCAACTAAAAACTTGATAAAACTGAGTTATAAAATGACCAAAGATATTTTCCGATGCAGCCAGCCCACAGAATAAATACATTTACGGTCAAACCTATGACTACCTGTTAATACACGTTGACCACTAATACAGGCTCCACAGAATAGGAGTATTATAAAGTAGTGATTAAAAAAAATGTCATTTCATGTCATAATTCAGCACATGATGAACAAACACTCAATCAAAAATACTATCAACATTGACTTCTGGAGAAATACATGTACTGAATTTTACTTGAAAGATTATTCTTCATTGTGTTTGAGTGGTCCTGCTTTAGGTGACTGTTCAATACTGGTGGAAGACAATACAAACAGGCCTTTGGAACTCAGTAAAGGGTGACATTACAGTGATAATATCATAGGTGACAAATTACTCCTTAATTCTGGCACGAAATTTCAGCGTTAATTTTTAATTTCACATTTGAAATTACAAAATTGCCATGGTAACATCTCTTGTATCTTGATCAGAGCCAAGATGGCACTGAGATTTAAGACGATGACTCTTGAAGAAGTTACAAAATTAAAAGAAGCGGCTGAAAATTTTTACAGGCATGAAGAATTCGAAAGGTATTTTTTGTGAAGAAACTCAGAAAATTACGAACTTTAACAATAATGTATGCTTTAAACGAAAACTATATTCTTCTTCGTGTTCTTGGTTTTTGATAGAATAACCCAATAAAAACAATTACAGTTGTGAATGTAATTTGTCACCCATGATATTAAAAGGTAATCAAATGGTTTTCTTGTGAAATTAGGAAATAATTTCACTTGCATTTTGTCAAAATTCTGATAATATCCCTCGCCTAAAGGCTCGGGAAATTATCCGAATTTTGACAAAACGCGCATGAAATTATTTCCTAATTTCACTGCTCGCCATTTGATTACACATACTTAAGGGATAAAAATTTTGTGACTTTGACAACCGACCACTTGATACAGGTTGTCCGCTTAATATGGTGCCCATTAATAAAGGTTCGACTGTATATAAAAAAGAACAGATAATTTACCTGAGCCACTTCTGCATTTGGAGTAAGCATAGCATAAGTTGAAAAAAGGAAAGAAAAAAATCAGTATAACAGCCCAGGCAATACACATCACTCAGCTACTTTAATAAATACTTTTATTATATGGCTGTGTCTCACAAGGTCGGGGAACTACCGAATTCATGAATTTGATTGGCTGAAATCAATATTGAAAGTGGTCTAGATTTTCCCATCTAGGCCAGCATCTAGACTGGTCTTGAAAAAAAAGGTACAAATTATATAAAAAATGGGCATATAAGACACAGCTATATAATAAACATCTTATTAACTAAGCTAGGTAGGTCTGTATGGGAGAATCTTGACCTCGGTCGCTGGTCCAGATCTCACTGTGTTTGGTCTGTACTAGCGACCTCGGTCAAGATTCTCCCATACAGACCTCCTGATCAGTTAATAAGAACTAAGTACAGTGAGGAAAAAACACATCTAAAATGTAAAAAGTGGTAATAAAAATAATATTAATAATTATAATAATTATTATCATTATTATTTTATGAAGAGGCCTTGGATCCTTGAAAAGCTAGAAAAATTTAGGAGTAAAAAACCATGAATCAAAGTGGTTGTTATTGATGTCCAACTACAAACAGCAATGATTGTTCAAACCTCTTGGTGGGTGTAGAGGGTGGTGGCATTTGAAAAGCTGCAGCACTGCAAAGAAAATTCATTCTAGTTAATAGCATTTTTTGATCAATTGATGACATAGTCTGATTGTCCAGGTGAGGAAAGTCCTAAGAAGAACTGTTGTTAGTTGTGGTGACTGATCTGTCGACAACCTGAGTGGTAATCATCTGGCTATAAGACCCAAGTGATGTAAGTTGGTTGCAATATGTCACTTTCATATCTATCTGTAATGTTATATGTTACGTTGTTCTGTATGTGGTCCATCACAGGAAATTTACCTTTTGGAAAGTAGTATATTCCATCAACCAGAAAAAAAAAATTCATAACAGAGACCAAAAAAAAAATTCTTCATTCACACATAAGAGGATACTATACCTCTTTTATCTTCGTCTTTTTACCTTCCTGCTGTTTAGCTTGTGTCATCCTCACTACTGTAAACCATAAAAAATTACAAAGTGAATATTGTAAACTTCATGTTTTTTTTTTAACATTAATGTGACCTTCCTTAATCTTCCTTAGGTCTATTAATTTAGTGGCTTGTTTGGCTCGACAGTGGATGAAAGAACAAGGAATAATAAATGTGTGTGTAGCAAACAAGCTGGCTGGTTTGGTGGATGGTATCATTAGTATGCACATTCTCCATACTGTTCTCTTTACATTACTTAAGGTGGTGACAAGGAGAATTTGTTTAACAATCAAGAGCTTCTCTAGTTGCTGATCATTTCCTTCATTCTTGTGACGTAAATGCATGATTCAGGGATGATATTGTAGGGATAAATTAGATGCTACATGTAGTTATAATTAACAATTATTGTTTGAAATTGAGGTGAATAGTGGCTAAATATTTACCGAGCCGTGAAGCGGCGAGGTAAATATTCCCAAAAGCTACTACTCTCTGAGATTGAAAAGAATAATTGTTTTAGTATATGCACATGAAGTGATCTTGACAAAATTAAAAGGAAGCCATTTAAAGGCAATTTCTGCTTCTGAAACTTTAGCGAAACGCGAGTTTACGCCCACTATTTTGCTTTTCACATTATCCACTCACTCGGAGGTGTACATTGTTGATTAGCCTGAGATAGCGAACCAATCAGATTGCTTGAAACGCCAAGATCACTGAGTGCGTATATACTAATTAAGAATATTCACCTCTCCTCTGTTTTCCTTATGAGATCTTTCAGCAACACATCAAGTCTGACCCGGGCACTTCTAACACCTACAAGTATGTGTGGTGGTTCAAATATCACTGGCTTAAAGGTTTCAAACAGAATTTTTTTCAATTCTTTTTATCTCTGTTTGCTATCATAAACCAAAAATTAATAATACAAAAAAAAAACTATAAGAAATTGACTTGCAGTCTAAGGAAAAATTTGAAGTCTGATATTTGTAAAAGTTTAAAAAAAGGCCTTTTGCCCATGTCTGGCTTTTTTTTTGTGAAGCTGTATATAGGCACATCTGTGAAATGAATACCTGGCAACTTTTAGAGGCATTCCGAGCTGAGACTGGTGAAGCTCACGTACAATGGGCCATTCCATTTAATATCTGCACCCCCCCTATTGAAGGCCTGGGATTTCTTATTGGGAGGGGGGGTCAATGCTATATTGTTTCTTAGGGGGATTGAAATTCCCACAAGTAGTTTCTGAAGGGGGTTCAATTGGTTTGCTTGAAAGCTACATAAAATTCTGAAGGGGGTAATTTCAGGAAATTTTGAAGGGGGTTAAAAAACTTCTTTTCTGGAGGGGTGTTACCAGAAAGCCTTCNCCCAATGAAATAATGTGTTTGTTGTTCTTTTGTAAATATGCTGAAAACTCGTCAAAATGATGGGTTGAACAAGTCACAACATCGAAGAAATCAACCAAAAAGAGAATAGATCTGTTAATCGATAGCAAAAATCGGATTCCGTTTAGGCCTTGAAGGAAGAAGAATTCAAACATACCTGAAGTTGTTTCCTCTCTTTTTGCAGCCATTAGGGTTCCTGGCACGAGGATGGACCTTTAATTTCCTTTTTTCAAGCGACGTAAGTGCTAATCGTGATCCAAAATCCACCTAAATTTTTGTTGTTGAAGTAAAAGGTACTCTTCAGATCACTGTGTTGTCTGCAATGTCAAGTTTCGCGGTTTTCTAGAGGTGTAATCCTCATCACGAGATGACAGAAGTAATGCGATTCTTCGAATTGGACGCCATTTATTGGGTAAAATAACCCGGATTATAAGTCTGCATTTGATTGGTTAAGGACAAGAAGTATTTGAATATCCCACAAGTCTTTGCTTTTACTGTATTGATTGGCTGAGCAGTCAATGTTGACAATTTTCAAATAAATTTCTGATCCTCCACGGTAAAACTTTTACTATTCGTCTAGGAAAAATATTGATTGCTTGTTAAGATTTTACTGGAATAGAAAATTTACACGATGTGTAACAATAACAGAACGCCTGGACCCTTATTTGGAAGTGTAAGTCAAAAAAGAAGCGCAGACAGACAGTAGCTAAATTAAGGATAAGTTTATTAAAAAAGATTTAAAATTTCCTCTGATCTAACTGTTAATTCCCAGGTAAATTTTACAGCTGAAGAGCGTGATGCAATTCGGAATGCATTAAACCAGAAGCTTGGCCCAGAGTATATCAGTCAAAGAGCAGGGGCGGGCGGGCAAAAGGTATTTTGCTACAAACCAAATATTAGAATCAGCATTTTTGTCAGAATGTGTACATTCGTCATTGTATTTATGTACGTACGCTTGTCATTTCTCAGCTTGCTTATGTGGAAGGATGGAAACTCATAAATTTAGCAAATGAAACCTTTGGTTTCAATGGTTGGTCACATTCAGTAACTCATCAGAACATAGGTAAGTGCAATTTACTTGTATTACATCAAAATTTTCGTTTGCAAAATGATGATCACCAAAAATACTTTTTTGTATCATGCCACTTATAACGCAACTGTTGTGTTGCTTTTCAGATTTTGTAGATCAGGTGGCAAACAAATATTATGTTGGAGTTAGTGCTTTTGTGAAAGTCCAATTAAAGGCAAGAATTTGTGTAAAATGTAAAATACCTAGCTTAACCTTCCTCACCCCTCCGCTGCCAAGCGAGAAGGGAAAAAAAAGAAAAGAAGAGAGAGCTAGAAAAAAAAAAAAGACAGAAAAAGTTGGAGTAAGCAACAGGGCATCCATTGTGACTATAGAAGGAGAATATATTTACAGAAATAAAAAAGACACTTTTTGCAAAGGGTTAAACATAATTAAAAAAGAAATTAAAAAATGCAGTTGCCATTTTAATTTTTAACCCTTTGCCACCTAACATCAGTATGCATATTCCCCATACTGTTCTCTATATATTTCCTAAGGTGCTGGCAAGGAGAATTTGTTAAACAATCAAGAGTTTTTTTTGTTGGTGATCATTCCCTTATTCTTGTGACCTTAATGTGTTTCAATGGTGATGATGTAGGGAGAAATTGGATAATAATCTGTCCTAGGGGTCAAAGTGTTACTAGTCATCAAACCTATAGACCAGCCATTGCTGATATGTGGTTGTCTTAAATCCATGTTTTAAAGTTATTGACAAGTTGCAGACTTTTATCTTTACCAGTATGAGCTTTGTAAGTATATAGAAAGCTCTGTAGTCAAGCTTGTAGCTTGGCAAAGTTTCAAATATGAGGAGTTATGTTATTATAGGATGGTGTGTACCATGAGGACATTGGTTATGGAGTCTCGGAGGGAATGAAATCTAAAGCTCTGTCTCTTGAAAAAGCAAGAAAAGAAGCTGTAACAGATGGACTGAAAAGAGCTCTCAAGTAGGCTGGATTCTATAATAACCTTTTTAACTCCCAAGTTCTGATTATTAATTCTCCTCTCTGGTTGCTACACATTTCCTTGTGGAAAAGTTACAAGAATTTGGTGTTAGATCAAGATAACCACTACCACTGACATAAGTTTGAGCATTTTTATCACCTGTCTGTTGGATTATATAATTATGGATATTATTGGGAGAAATTACATGTAAATCACTTCTGGGAATAAAGGGTTCATTAAAAAATTGACCGTTCACTAATTATGATTGAATAACAATGAATGGATTTTTCTTTCTTGATTCCACATTTATTCCATATATTCCTCATTCTTTATGTGCACTTTTATGGACCTTTTTGACTTTGTCTGACAGTCCATAAAATTGGAAAAAAAGAATTTGGCCAATATCCAGATATCTTGACCCCACACTTGGTCCATAATGCACATTTACTGATCAGGTGATTACAGGGGTGCACATGCTCTGATTGGTAGAGGATTACCTCTGTTGTGCAGTACTATCTAACGGTAACCACATATATTTCCTGTAAAGAATATTTCGCTAGGGGTCATTGACTGTCTAGAATCTTCCTAATTATCTGGCAGATCACTTCCCTTAAGTGTTTAAAACAGAATCCTGAATATATTCATTAAAGAACAAAACTTGGTAGTCTCAAAACAATTAGAAAACTGCATTTAGCCATCTTCTCACAGATCAATCCAATTAATTGATTCCCTGACCAATGGAAAATCACAAATTACTTTGTTTAACCTTGTTTAGAACTGTTAACTATGCTGCTTTGCATCAACATTCTCTGGATGAAGTTTATTCCTTGGCCTCACGTAGAATGTTTTTTCATGTAGGAGTTTTGGAGAATCACTTGGTAACTGCATAAGTGACAAGGAATACTTAAAGTTCATTACCAAACAACCTCAGTCAGTAAGTATCACTGGGTTTCAAAGGGAACAACTAGGCCCCAGTTGTCCAAAGGCTGATTAATGTTAAATTCATCAATAAATGTCTAAGTATGCTACGAACATTGCAAATTGATTGCTAAATAAATGAAACAAATTGTTAACAATTATTATTACTTGCTAAATTAATTGCTATTGATTATAAACTTTCAGCACAATGGGAATGTTGAACTTTTAATTTTTTTAGGGTAGCATTCAATATGATATAAATCACATGAGGAGACCTGGAAAGACCATCAAGCAGGAAATCAAAAGAGACCAGAATTCATCTGAGATGAAGAAAGGAAACTTCCCTCCTGAAAGTATGTTTTCTGATTAATATGTTCTTAAAAATTATTTAATGAAGTATCAATCAGTTGGTAAAGATCAATCTTTTTTATTCACTGTGACACTATGTTTTGTTGCAGACAGTAGTCATATTGACACTGGACAAGCTCATGTCAGCTCTGTGAGCAACAGTGTTCAAAGCAACTCCTCTAAAGGACAGTCTTCACAAATGGAGATGAGGCCAACAACAAAAGCTGATGATTTGAGAACACTGAACAAACCAAGGACACCGACAGTGGAGTGGAATAAATCTAACAAAGTATCAAACTGCCCTCCACCAGTCAAGACCCCAGGATCAGCTTCCACACCTGCATTGGGAACAGTTACAAAAACCAGGATCTCTTTCGTAACCACACCCATAGAGACTAGGGCACATGAAACCACCCCAAAGCTACAGAACTATAGTGTCATTCCAGAAGGTAACCTATACATTTCAATTATTATTATTTTTTTTTTGAAGTGTCTGCATGATTAGGATGCAATTGACCTAATGGTAAACTCTGTAAATGTGCCAAAAGACACATACTGGTAGAGTTTCTGCTGCTTTTAGTGGTATGGAGCCAATTGGAGTTTGCTAATCCATCTTTGACAGGGTGCCAGTCCAATTTGGGGTTACAACTTAAGCATTGAATAAAGTTTTCCAACAGTTTGATGGCTCTGATTTATTTCCTGGTTGGCCAAGAGCTGTGGGAGAGTGTGGTGTCTTTCCTAAGAAGACAACATAGTGTCCTGATCTACTCTAGTACCTGGATCCTTGGTTTTTGGGTTCAATGCAACAACCACCAGACCACCACACTTGTGACTTAAAATACTTTCTGTCTTTGAAAGAATTCTGTTCACAGAAGAGTATAAAGAAAAAGAGGGTAATCCAGCTGAGAAAGGTGGTTTCTTTTTATTTGTCACAATTAATCCCTGTTGAAGTTTTTTGTAACAGCTAGACTGATTCTAGATCTTATAACATTTACATGATATGAATGATTCTTCTAAAACAACAGATGACCCTCTTCTTTGGAATCACTCATTTGGTTTTGATGAGGCACTCATATCTTGCAGTGAGGAATTACTTATGAGGTCCCCAGAGGCATTCAAACTTGAAAACACACCTGTTAAGCCAGATGATGTCAAAGCTTCCAAGTACGACTTGAACATTTAACTGATATGTATCACGAGTTATGCACTGACTCCGAGAAAAATTCGTAGAAGCAACAAAGTAAAAGCTACAGATTTTATTAACATTTGAAACTCCAAAGCTTTTTTGGATGATGCACTAGAAAAGACAATTAAGTCTGCAAACTTGACAATTTTTTGGCTTTGATATTTAGCTGAAACAAAATGGAGTTTATAATAACTTAAGATGGCTCTGAATGGTCTGTACAGTTTTTTTTTTTAAACTTTGGAATGAGATGAACAGTGATATGCTGATTACATTACAGTTGCAAAATATGGGAGTTGCTGAACTCATTTTTTTATGAAGTAGATACATGAACCCAAGTGTAAGGGTGTTCCTAAGAGGCTATGGTGTTGCTTTGGTCACCTTAAATTATTTTTGTCCTGTTGAGAAATAATTGGCCATTTATTTGATACCGTTTAGATCATGTTAACGCTGGTTGATATTTTCGTCTTTTTTTTATTAATGATCATTTTCACCTTGGTGTTTTGTACTCAACATGATTTGTTTAATATTTAAATTTAATTTTTACCGTCCTAGGTTTAACAAAGGAAACGCGATGACCACGCCCATGTTGCATTCAAATAACAACAGCAACACCCTGATCAATAAAAACTTCGCGTGTACCAAACCCTTGCATCTAGACCCACACAAAAATCACAGTTCGGGTTTCCCGAATCAACCAGGTACGTATTCATCGTGGCATTTCATCTAACTCCGCTCTGGGACAAAAAATCACCTCGCAAAAGTGATTAATTCTAACATCTAGTATTTGCGCGCTATTTCAGTAAATTAAAATAAAACTCCCTAGAATTGACCTGATTCTCTGCTTTTCATTTATTTCCCGCAGAAAATATAAAGCGGCGGAGAATAGAAGGGCATACTGTCAGATGACTGTGACTGAAAAGAATCATGGCTAGAGAAGTTGTAGCGCGAAGTACAGAGTTAGAGACGCATTTATTCGCTCGACAGGGACAGAACGCCTTTATTTCGACCCTAAAAGAGTGTTGCTGTTGACTTACCTCAGTCTTTAGTGATATTTGTTGTGTTTGGGTTTGGCTTATAATGTGGATTGAGATATATCCTTCCAAATAACAGCGGTGTATTTTCCTAAAGTGGATCTCGCAAGAAATGAAGGCCACGCCTCGAACAAACTATAGTGTATTCCCACCTGAGAAATCCTTTGTAAAGCTGTTTTTTTTTGTTTTTTTTGTTTTTGCAACACTGGATTTCACGCAAAGTTCCCAGAGACGAATGAAAGTCCATTTTTCGTGCTACGTTCAGTTTCCCGGCGGCTCAGCCGATATGAACCTTGCATGCAACGACAACTAAAATTCCTATTAAAATAAAGATGCTTAAAAACTCAATTCGCTATCAATATTATGCTCTGTTAAATAAATAAAGGGGGGTACGTTTCTAGAGAAACTGTGGTGCTGCGGCGGTGGGGGTATTCAGGAAGTGATATTGATACGTAGACTGTTCTAAACATCGTTCATCAACAACATTAGACCTTGCTGCTGTACGCCTAACAAGACAAAATATTACTTTTACGGGAATCTTGCATGTTTGCACAGCAGAACTCGCAGCGAAGGACCATTGATATAAAAAATAATGGGGGAGGTTTACGGACTTACACGACACCCTAACACTGGAAGGCACAATGGGCACAAAAAAGTATAGAAGGGGTGACACAAAACAACTGACTCTTACGGTAGTTATATATGTGGAGTGTCCTTAAAGTATTGATTGTTGGACTGTTATTTTTCGCAACCAGCGGAAGAAAGAATTCATATGTGGATTAAACTTTTGAAAAATTAACCACTATTTCCTTTTTTATGTAAAAGACACGCCTGGGCTGAATACAACAGCCAGTCAACGGACAAAGCCCGCATAAAGATGGGTTTTGACCGCTCAACTCATTGGGTGGCCGGACATTTTGCCCAGTTTTTTACGCATACGAAGAATTTAATTTAGAGCTAAGTTGAGGTTTTAAATACAGCTGTATCACTTCTCTTGCATTGAGTTCGAGACTGCATGTACAATTAAAGCGTGTAAATAATACTTGTTTTTATGGGGGTAGTGAGATATGACGAAATGTATACATGGGTTGTGTCCGAGCAAAAATAGGTTTCACTGGACAACTTGACTAGCCCAATTGTTTTCTACCATAAAATTCTTATCTCGTTAGTTTTAGGAATTTGATGTTCACATATGACTCGTTACTTAGTGTAATTACTCAGCTGATTATAGAGATGCCCACGCTCTGATTGGTCGAAAATTACCCCATATCTCGCCGCAATAACTCTACGCAAGGTAATTATGACAATGAAGAAACTGTGGTGCTTCGTCGGTGGGAAGCACTGATGTGCAAAATGGTCTTCGTGTGAGTTCTTGATGTGTTTAAGGAGGAAGGAAGCAAAACGAAAGAAAGTGCACTTTCTCTGATAATCACCCGAGCAGTTACAATAAAAAATTATCTCCTCAGGCTCACTGAACAATCACTTCGCCTTTGGATAAGTGTGGAATAAGAAATAAATTTCGTCATGTCGCCATCTTCTTAACGTTTTACAGATACATTGTGATTATAAATTAGCTAACAGTGGTTATTCATGCCTGGCTCTATTTACCTGTTTCATACATTCAAGTTCAATGATCGGGTTTAAAGCGAAGTTTCTTCTTCCTTTTTACAGATATGGTCTCTGTTTTTACTGTTAGTAAATTAATTCCGAAAACTCTTTTGCATAATATAGACAATAACAGTCTTCGTAAATGATACAGCATTTTTCATATTTACCCCCTCTCCAAATATATTCTTTTTAAAGATCTGTATCTATCATTTTCCAAGGTACTGAAAATTTATATAAAATAGACAATAAAAGCCTTCGTAAATGATACAGCATTTTTCATAATTATTTACCCCCTCTCCATATATATTCTCTTTTTAAGGATCTGTATCTATCATCCGCTAAGGTACTAAAAATTTATGACTGCAGTTTTATAAAACTATTTTGATTGGGCCGTCACAGATTCCAGGACACGTGCGAGTGCAAAAATATATCAATGAAGCTTTTTTTCACTCGGTGCTGGAATAACAGGGATTTGCAAATCAGCGAAAGGTAACAGGGTTATATTAATGTTTTCTTCTTACTCTCCCGAAAATTTACCTCAACGGTCTTTCAGCATCAGAGTATTTTTTTCTACTCAAAGTATTTTTTACTCCGTACTCCAAGACTTCTCGCAGACGGTTTGAAGAGTTTGTACCCATTCCATTCTATCCTCCTCGGACGCTGCTCGGAATATGTATTTGATTCCTTTCCTTGTTCGTAACAGGAACGTGTATTGAGCTGTTTGTTTTCTTCTCCCTGTGACAAATAAAAGAAACTGAATGAGAATATTCTCGTTTGCTTAGGTAACTAAAGAATATGTAAAAAGGGACGGCCTAGCTGGAAAACTCTTAGCCACCTCGTTAGAATAACTACGGTTTTACTGACAGACTGATTTATAACAAAGCGACAAACGGACCAGCTGACAGACCAATTACGGAGCAAATGACAGGCGGAAAGACAGATCGCCAGAAAGACAGACCAATTGTCAGCCCAACTGATAGAACGAATGCCAGACACTCGCACTCACTGACAGACCAAATGACATACCGACCAACTGACTTGCCGTGGGACAGAGAGATCGACTGAAAGATCAAGGGACAGACCACCAACTGTCGGCTGGGCGTCTGCATATGATCAAATGCCTGAATTAGCTTCTTTGCCCTGATTTTCTGAGTGTTTACTCTCGGAAAACACATCTAACATCTAACGCCCAACTGGTGACCTTGGAAAGCAGTAGCTCATTTTTTTTTCCAACGTTTACCAGAAAGCTCGAAGTGCTCAAGAGTTAAATTACACAGCGCACGAATCGCGCTGAATTACTTATCGTTCTCATGAAGAACAGAAAAGTACAATGCTATTACACAAACTAAAAAGAAAAATCTAAAGCACAACCCCCCATCCGTGCACCTGTAAAAATTCAGTTCGGGACGTCTTTACTTACCATTTTCACATTCGGCTCCGGAAAGTTCGTCATCATTTTTAAGAGTCTTTACTTCGCTGTCCTGCAACTTGATGTGTCCAACTGGCGTAGATGCCTGGGGAAAAAAACAAAAACAGCAGCTTAACAACGTAATTTGAAAAGCGGTTTCAGAATACAAAGAAAATCTAACAAATAAACAAACACATCCAAGTGAAAGTTTTACCTTAGAAGGCCGACAGTAAAACAACATAGTGGGCTGGGTACAAAGAATAAACTTCCTTGTTTTCCAGTTGTGTCGGACATGACCCTGTGAGCAATATTCAGAGCATTATTAATTGCGCGTCAAAAGTAAACCATGGTTGCATCAGCTCTGCTTCACAACGCTCCCGGATTGGTCAAGAAAACTCGCGCCACCCTCTCCACCAATCAGATCTAAAACTAAAAATAGCCTCAGGCGTTTTCCCGCGCTTCAAGTCTCCCACCGTGTAGTGCTACTTGTAGATTGGGCTGTGGTTTGGTCCAAACAAACATTCCAAAAGTCTCGTTTTATTATGCAACCTTGAAGAAAGACTATCCTTATATACTTAATATCAACCTTTTTCTGTAGGAAGCCTTGCTTGACAATACTTCCTCTGATAGCTCCACACTGGAAGAGAAAGAAACGAAAACAATTTTAAATGATTGCAACGTTTTAAGAACTAACCATAAAACAGCTGGATCAAAAGATACCTGATCTCGTGGAACTTCATCGTCAGAATCACTTGAGTCATCTGACCATTCTAACTCCAAACCTTCATTGGCGCTGTATCTCAGAGCAGACTGAAAAATTCAAGGTGACAATACGTCTTAGCCCAGTGAGCAATAAGTGTGAATGCTTACCCTAAGTTTCCAAGCGAGTATGCTGCTTTTACTGTTGCTACTGTCTGTATTACCCCCCATGGATGGACACTTGGATGTGCTGCTAGTCCATTATACATACTCCTTTCCACTAGCATTTCATCTGATTTTCGTGGCACCTAACTGATACCCATTCGCTCAATTTTTATGATGTCATTTAAAGAAAATTTGGTTTTGGATCAACAATAATTATTGATACTTTTCTTTATTTTCATCACTTGTCTGCTTGATATTGTCCTGATATTGTAAGGAGAAACATTATCTTGGTGACTCTCATGGGAGTTAGAGGGTTGACAATCATAAGGAATGTTACTTACAAATCTGTAAAGTGCATCAGGACTATCCAGAAATGTGGTGCAGTTCTCAAATTTTGTTTTTCTTTTGAATGAAGTTTTACTTGTTATTCCAACTGGCTGAAGATGAGCGTCTTCCAACAACACAGATGCTAAAGTGATGCCTTTTTCACGATTTGATACAAAGGACCATTTAAGCAGCCAGTCGATCACTTGAACTCCTGTGTTTTATAGAGTAAATGGTTGTTCAATGCTCATTAAACTTCTCTGAATGAACAATTCACTGCCTTACTTATCAGCGCAGTAGTTTTGTCTTGACTAGAAACTCAAATTACTATAATTTATTCTTTGTTCATTATTCCAAAAATTGAGATGTGTGACATTGGCGATCAAATTTGACTATCGTAGTGTTTCATTATTCAAGTTGTGTTTGCATAACAATTAAGAGAGATGTGAAGCAATTTCTTCAATGTCAGAAGTGTGGGACATAATAAAAAAAAAAAACATCCGAGTCTCAATGGGGATTGTCATACCAGGCCCTAAAATTCCAATTGCTCTAACTTTCTCTTTTTCAGACTGTAACAGGTCAAATTTTCATTACCTTTTGTAAGTTTACAGTACTTTTTATCACTGCCTAAAATCACTTGAAAATTTAACAGGTATAAGTTAGGATTTCCCTACCAGTTTGAAAATGTATTTTACCCATCATGCTTAAAATAAGGGAGAATAAAGAATTCCTGACAAGCAAGGCAATATTCTAGCTAGATTTGCATGTGACAAGTATCATGCTTGCTGATATGATCAGAAAAGTAGAAAGAATCCTAATAAGAAGATGGATTCATAAGAAAGATGGTAGATTTGAGCTCATTTTCAGGATTCTCACCAGTAAAGCAGAGTTTGTGAGTTTTAATTTCCTCGAGACAGGCATGATTGTCAAGAGGTATTCCCGCATCTGCATCTTGCATTGCTTCCACCATGTCCCTAACAAGTCATTCAGCAGGCTATCATCAATGGAATCATCTTAACCCTTTACACCATAACATCAGTACACATATTCTCCATACATTCTCTACACATTTCCTAAGGTAGCTTCTTTAATTGGTGATCATTTCCTGTATTCTCATGACCTTAATGTGTTATTAGGGGGCAATATTGTATGGAGAATTTAGAAGCTAGTCTCTTTTAGGGCTCAAAGGGTTCAGTTGTTTCACCCCCACTGACATTAACATATAGAGGAAGACAGGCCATTTTGAATCTTAGTCAAGTCATTTAGAATACACAATAGTTGTCCCCAAACTAGACTGATAAGTACCCAAATTTTTCATCAAAAACCAAAAATATGGAGTAAAAATTGCTTCCATGTGACTCATACCTTATTTGGGTTGGAGTACATTGTACAGATAACCTTGGGTAAGAACTTCTAGGAACTTCCTCTGGATCAGTGCACTGTCAAACATCAAAATCAAATATTAATTTATTAAAAATGGTTTGTATATCTGGTTTAAACTGAAATGATTTCCTGACTCATCAAATCACTTAATTATCACCCCAGTTTTGACTTCTGAGGCAGTTTTGACTCCTCACTCCAGTATAGATTGAGGAAATGAGATAAGTAGTATTTATTTTTCTCAAACTCAGTGATACCTTATATTTAATATCTAATCGTCTGACTGCATTTGCAATTGCTGTGGTCCAATCTTCACGTTCCTCTTCGTTTGCTGCTTGAAGTAAGTACTCTGTATTCTCTTTTGTTGTTATCCTAAACACACCCTGAAAAACACAACATATTATTGAATCTACCCAACTCAAGCAAATTTTTTTTAATCACTCATTTGATTATGTGCCAATCAATTTTCAAGCTTTAACATTCTCCCTTGGGCTGTCCACAGGCACACTTGACTCTCATCCACGCCAGAGGGATGGGGAATTTCAAATTGCCTGGCTAGGGTAAGAAATTTAAACTCTGGAAGTGTCCAGTCTCTCCAGTGGAATACGAGTGTCATATTTATTTATTTATGTTATTTATTTATTAAACTTCCACTGAGTTAAAAAATAAATATATTTAAAAATAAGAAGGATAAATAAGCTCAATAGTAAAACGAAAAACGAAAAGCAAAAAGCTCAGTGAGGAACAATCACAACAGAGCAAGCTCCAACTAGGTGAAAGTCTAAAGGGAAAAAAAAAATACCTTTAAATCTTTAATATCTTTAAAAATCTTTAAATACGGAGGTGTTTGAGGTAAATAGTTCAAATAGTTCATGTAGCAGCTGCTTTGCTTGTGCAACGGGCCACGTGAAAACCAAGGGTATACGCCAATACATCTAACAATCAAGTCTGGTGATTATTTTCAACCATGGTCAATTACAACGTTACTTTGAGACGATACTCACTAAACTATCCGGATGACTGTCGAAGACTGTCACAGAACATGCCTATGAAGGGGTTTCAAGTGAAGCTTGACTAGCTCGTTAACGAAACCACAAAACAACCGTCCTAGCAAAAAGGTTTTTTCTGCTTTTCTCCACAAGGGAACTTATATTAAGGTCCCATATGAAAAACTAGGAATGACGGGATGCGTCACGCAACACAAAACGACTGGGAAGGCGTTACAGTTCAGAAGAAAAGGTCTATAATTTGGTTTTAAATCTTGGTCAAAATGTAGGAAGTCATGCTCACTGATTTTGCCTTTCATAAAAAAAATCGGGTGGGACATCTGAATACAATATTTTCCCCCTGAGGGTGGGACTTTGAACAAACCAATTTTCAAAGTTGAAATACCCAGGAGGAGGGGGGGGGAATGTTGAAGCTTTGAATTCATTGATGCATTACAAACCCAGTTCAACTTCACTCAGTCCTGTTGCATTTCTAATTGTAAATTGAAAGATTAGCAATCATGGTGAAATACTAAAGATATCTTCTGATTACAGTACCTCTTTTTTGGTGTACTCTGTGCAGGGTGAGACTAAAAAGCAGCCTCTCAGTGGAATCTCACCAGCATTGTACATCACCTAAATAAAAAGAACATGAAATAAGAATTGTTAGGGGATAGTTAAAGAAAAATTTAAACTGTGAGAAAATATGCAGAATTCTGATGGACTTCCAAACACAAATGCTCTAATGAGACCCACGTTCAGAGCTTTATATTTCTACTCAGCCCCCCTCCCCCCCTGATGGGCCCCTCTACTCTCCCTTTGGAGTGGAAGCACAAGAAATTGATTCAGAAGGGATGCATGGGAAAGACCTGGCAAGATTTCATCACAGAACCATACAGTTCTGGGATTAAGAAAACAATAGCAAAAACAATAAATTGCTTTGGGACTAGAGTTTTGTTAAAGAACAGTATGGGTTTATATATAAATTTTTCCAAAAGCTGTCGGTAATTTTGTCTGAAATTTTTCTAAAAGCTATCAGTAATTTTGTCTGAACTACTAGATTCTCCTTTGATTTTTCTTATGTTCCCCTGCACAACAGAAGGAGATTAAATGTAGAGCTAGCTGCATGGAAAGTACTATGTACTATTAGCAGACATTTAAAGTGTTAAATGCTATTTGGCAATTAATATGGGTCTTTCAGCACTAGCTGACAAAACTAGAATTGTTCCAACAAAATCGAAGGACAAAGTTTGTCATGACAAATGTTTGTTTCATTTGCACCTGATCTGCTCATAACACTAGCCAGCATTGTTTGCCACAGGATTCCAAACTCCAATTCCCAGAATTCATGTTAAGTCATTTTAAAGTTTAAGGATCCTCAAGTTTTGCAACAAAAGACAATAATTGCCTTCCTAACAAACTGATTGGGTCATTCCACAGTATTTTGCATGTCACGGAGGGGACAATTCAGAGGAGAATATCATGGATAGCTCCCCAGCTTAATATAACTCAGTTCACTGAGGACTTCTAATGGACAGAACAGCTAATGATTGTTTTAAATCAAACTATTTCCAAACAACTTCTTCCACATTTGGGGGGAATTAGTCATTTATTTAGATTGTCACGGAGGGGACCAGAGAAACTATGAAAACTGAAAGTTAAAATTTAATCTCAGATTTCTGTGAATGTATAACGGCAGCAACAATAATTTAGTACATAGTTTATTTAGATGTTAATCAACCATAAAACTGCCTTATATGGAAAAGGCCTTCCTCCTCTCTTACATTGTACAGGAACAGTAAGTGCTCGTGGCTATTGTCACGGAGGGGACCTTTTGTCCAATAGGCAGCAGTGATCAGTTTGAACCAATTTTCCAGCCTTAATATGAGTTTACAGCCCCAGTTTAATTCAATTCTTTTCAAGATATTCTTTAAAGCTTGACCACATCAAAAAGCAAC